TGGGGTAAATTACAACCACCCCTGAAGTATGGTAAAATTACGAAAACTCCATCATGTTTAATTAATTACAACAACACCCTCAAATGTAAATTTTCTAACACTTCCACCCTTGCAGTTTTAAATTTAGTGGAATCTTCTTGATTATATGGAATATTATCACTTTTGTACACGTTTTATCCCATTCGAGCTCCACATTTTGAAAGAAGATGATCATAAGATGTGTTTTTTGGCTTGTATATTTCAGATTGTGGTGCATCAGAAACTGTAGTTTTACGCAAAATGAGTACAAACTATAGCACATTCCACGAAATTGAGATAATAACACCATAAGGGTGGAGGTGTAAGAAGATTCAGAGTTGAGGGTAGGGTTTTTCGTAATTTGACCATACCTTAGGGAGGGGTGGTTGTAATTTACCCATTCTTTTTCTTTAATTAATATATAAGTAAAAAGATACCTCTAGAGAATAGAAAAATCATATAAAATATGCATGAAAGCGCACACACAACACGGTGTCGTGTGCGAAATTGGGAAATACCAGATATCCGTGGTGGCAACACGGCGGAGGAGGGGCGGCCGGGCGGGGCGGGGTCAGCAGTCAATGAACCAGAGAGGAATAGTTATTTGTACGCATTAGATTATCATGTAATCGTCTGTGTTAATTTTGGATCTGCCTGGAAAATGCATTAAAAAAAAGAAAAATAAAAAAATAAAAAATAAAATAAAAATAAATAGGATTAGTGGTGAGAAAAAAGAAAAAGGGTGGGGGCAAAGGGTTATATTTTGAATATATAGAGATCCACATTTCTCTGTTGCAGTGATTATCGGTTTGGCTTCCCCTACCTTTTCGGAGCCATTTCTTTTCTTTTCACCATATAGTTGCGGATTATAATTTCGAAAAAATTAACGGTCACCCCTGGAATAAGGTTAAATTACAAAAATAAATAATCTTTGTATTTGGATAAGTTACAACCACGCTCATTTAATTATGTATTTTCTTATGAAAAAAATCATTATTTAGTAGGTTATTTTAACACTGTAAAAATAGGCTTGTAACACAATTACTGAATAGAAGAGGGTTACTTAAGTTATTCGTACCTTAGAGAGTTGGTCGTAATTGACCATATATATATATATATATATATATATATATATATATATATATATATATATATATATATATATATATATATAGAAAAGCTGGATGTCGAAGTTGGGTAGAACCAAGAAAAGATGGTGAAATAATTTATATATTCATTTATCTGAAAATTACTTTTATATAATATTTAACAATACAATTAATCAAACAGCAAATAAAGTGGTATTGTTGATTTTATTTGAATTAAAATAAATAATCGATACAAGTTTATTTTAGGTTACATGTATAATTGGTGGACAAAGAAATTGAGAAACATGTAGAATTAATTTGAGGCCCATTACTGGAAGAGTTTTCAAACCAAAATGGGAAACATGGAGAAGGCCCGGAAGTCCGTCTTAGGGCCCGGCCCATTTATTGCATAAGTACATAAAAAGTAAATTTAGTGAAATAGGATATATGCATATTAATCAACAACATGGGGATGTAGCTCAAATGGTAGAGCGCTCGCTTTGCATGCGAGAGGCACGGGGTTCGATCCCCCGCATCTCCAATAATATATCGTTTATTTCGTTTATTTTTTTATTTTTTATATAATAAATTCGTTTTACGGGCATAATAAAATATGGGCAAATGGCAAAAAGGCCCATCACATGGGACTTAAATGCATTTTAGTCCATAAAAAAAACAGTCACTCAATTAAGCCCATGCCTTTAGTCTAAAATACCCTCAATAATATAATTCTTAACAATTCCACCCATTATGCTCTAACTTCCTTAATATTACACATTGACCCCGAATTTAACAAATATATCACATAAACCCCC